TTTCCAAGTTAGAAGTAGATGACAAACATTAATTAGTAAGATTTAGGAAAAAGTACAGGAGTCTCGGTGTCCTTGCTCTGTATCTTCTCATGGAATAATTCCACATGAAAATTATTTTTACATACATATGTATATAAAACATATATATCAATTGGACTGAGTGAATATAGTGTTAAAATATAATTGCGTGGAGGGCTTAAGCATAAAACAACAACAAAAAAAAAGAGGTTCAATTTACATGTTGCAATTGGAAAAATCAGGATATGATGTTAAAGTAGACAAAAATGGCTTTCCCTCAAACCCAGTTTGGGAACAGAACTAATAACCCTAGCAACTCTAGGGAACTAGAACACATTAAGAGCCGTTCAGCTCTGAAACAGGAAACCTCAAAGAGAAGGACTCCAAACAGAAAACTACACAGTAAATATTGTCAGTGCAGAGACTAGCCAGCACTTTAGCTTTCTCTTATAAACACCACAAGCTGAAAGAAATGGAAACTTATATTAAAGTGTTTTTCTCACAGAGAGAAATGTCAATATTTTATATTTTATTTATAACATATGCATAGTGTACTAACCTCCTACCAAAAGGGGATCAAACTGACTTCTTCCAAGAATGGTTTAATGCCTCACAGCATTTCAGTGCAGTTTATTTTTAACCTTCAGCACTACACATGCTGTTTAGTAGTTGCTAGTGTTTCCGATGTATGGCATGACTTAATATGTGGTGCCCTCATTTCACTCATTGATTACTGCATTTTGTAGTCTGGTGATGTTTCACTGCGTGATCTATGTTTGATACAATTTGTTCTCAGGCTTTCTTTTTTCATGAATCACTGTGCGAGCAGCAGGTTCTCACACAAAATGTGTTGTGTACTGAGAGATCAATCTCACTTTCCAGGTTGTATGACTGAGGAACAGCTACAGTGCTGTTCCACAGCCCCAGAAGGAGTCATCTCACTTGAATGTAGGACTCCATAATCATTCAGCTTGGTCTTCCAGATCAGACTTTGGGAACTGCTGCTTTAGATGGTGCATTGCTTCCAAATAGCAATCTGAGTGACGTCTGCAACAAACATTTACTTATGTTTCCTCCTGATTATAACCCGAAAGGTCTCTTCTGTGCAATTGGTATCCTTCCAAGAGTTCAAAGACCTTCATGTGAAATAAAAGGGACAGAACTCTAGGCGTCATACACTGAGGCACTTCAGGTTTTCTGATGCAGGATGCAGTCCTTCTTAAATCATACAAAGCTTAAAGGAAGAGGCAGTAACCCTTTTGTAGTACTTTGGGACTACACAACAGTGTCGTATTGCAGTAAAGTGAGTTGCCTTGATGCAGCTTATTAACCTTTTAGCTGTATTATGATCTGTGTGACAAAGTATTCTCGTCTCTTAAGCCTCCTCAGAGAGGTACTGCCACTGAGTCATGTGGCCCCAAAACTTGCACTACAGCTGCAGATCCAGATTTTCTCTTAAAAAAGCCTTCCCTACAAACATAAAGAAACTTAGGCAATACCATTGGTAAAAGGGTGAAAGTTGTATTATCTGGAGGAGGAGATGTAAATGCTCATTATTGGGTTGAAATGCTATTATCTCTCTGGTCTAACAGACCAAAGAGACATAGTATAGTTTTTTGCCGCAATAGTCTAAGGATTCAGACACCTTGGATCCCACTTTCAAACTACCCACCATTGTTCTTTGGACTGACAAGATGCATCATAAAATCTTGAATCCTAAGCTACATATTCAGGTCCAATACATGGTGCAAAGTGTCTAACACTGGAGTTCATCAATTCCATCAATCTTAAATTAAGATTTTCCTCAACAAGTCAGGAGAAAAACCCTGTGAACTGAACCCCAGTAGCAGATGAGGTGCCAATACGTGTGCTTGGGCACTTCAGCTGGTAAGTCTCTCTGGGAGTTAGATGTCATGTCCAATGATTGCTTGAAGTGCTTACTCCTGTCTTTTGGATAATAGTTGAGTGGTTGGGCATTTGTCCATAAAGCAAAGTTTCTGTGGTTGAAGCCCAAACTCCCATTTTCCAAGACAAGCTTTTA